TGCCAGTTGCCCTGACTTTTGTCTTGCCACTGGACTCCAATGACTCCAGAAGAGAGTGAGGCTGCCAACTTTGTGTACCTCTGCCTCACTTAAATCCAATTCCCCCAGAGTCAAGACATCGCCTCATGATGTCATTGGTCCTCTTTTTTTTTTAATTAAAAAAAATTTTAATGAAGGATGAACAACAATAACAATGTGACCTTGGGCAAGTCATTTAACCTCTATTTGCCTCAGTATCCTCAACTGTAAAATGTGGATAATAATAGAACAACATCTACATTCAAGGGTTGCTGTGAGCACCAAATGAGAAAATATTTGTGAGGTTCCTGGCACATTGTAGGTCCAGTATAAATGCTAATGCCCTCCCCATCTTACCATGGGGAGTGTATGTGAGGGAGGAGTTGAGGATACCATCGAGATTGTAAGCCTGGATGACTTCATTCTGTGTTCTTAGATTCCTTCCAACTCTGCCTTTCTGTTCTAAGGACCTTCTAGCTCTGAGAGTCTAAGTATTAAGATCCCTTCTATCTCTGAAATTGTCTCAATGCCCCCACCCACCTCTGACATTCTCTGTTCTAATATTCTTCTCAGCTCTGCCATCCTGGTCTATATTCTAAGACCCCATCAAGCTCTATGGTTCTCTGCATCCATAAATTGGAACTCCATTCCTCCTGACCAAGAATAAAGCTAAACATATTCTCTGCCATTTCCAGAGTTTCCTTGTGTTTCTTTATACACAGTAACATTTCCATAATAATTTGAGCTGAATTTTAAGTCCATTTCACATGAGACCTCATGGCATGAGCTCCTTTATATAAAATTCCTGTCACAATCCCTCATTTAGGAGCTGGGAGGAAGTCAATGCATTCCACCTCCATCAGTGACCTGTAATCTATAAAAGCAAAGCTGTCCACAAAAGGCCTTTTTTTTCATCCGCAACACTGCTTATTAGTACCTAGCTAGCTAAGCAACAGTAATAGGGACTGAGCAGAAAGGCACTGAGTCATCAATGAGCAGCAACCATTTTGTTTAGGGAAAGATGGAAAAAACCCAACTCAGAGGAAAAACAAGCCAGGCAGACTGCACAAGCCAAGGCCAGGGGGGTGGCTGGAGAGAGGCTTCTGTCTTGCATTCAGCCTGTTGCCTCCTCCCACCCCTGCTGTACACACACAAACACACACATTCCCCAGGAGGGATCTTCTGGGTCCAAGCCATGGGACCAAAACACCAGCCTCACCCCAAGTTTGGTTTCTAGAATTGACCCACAGGGTAGTTTGGTTTTTTGGTGTTAATCCATCTTCCACTCAACTTCCAAAGTGATATTCCTAAGCCTTTAGTCTGCATAATACACCTGCACACACACCACACCCCCCCACACACCACACCCTTAATAACTCTAGTGATTGCCTGTTACCTCCAAGACCAGATATATAGTCCCTTGACTTCTAAAGCCCTTCACAGACTGGCCTCTTACTACTTCTCCAGTCTTCTTATGCTTCAGCCTTTCCACATCCTCTACGATCCGGCAACACCAGCCTCCTCTTGTTCCTTGCATGAGATACTCCATCCGAGCATTTTCTCAAGTGGTTTACCATTGGAATGGTCTCCCTCCTCATCTCTCTCTCCTCCTTCGTTCAAGACTCAGGTCAGATCCCACCTTCTTTCCCAGTCCTCCCCCACCCCCCACCCCGTGCCTGGCCTCTGAGAAGATCTTCCATTGGGGCTGGATATATCTTCTATGCACCTGGTTGCTTGCTCTTTTTCCTCCCTTAAAAAATGAATTCCTTGAGGGTCAGCACCCTGTGTATCTGACTTTTTTTAGATCCTCAGCAGTTAGCACAATGCCTTGCACATAGCTTGATAATGATGAGAGGTTTGGCCCCTTGGGGGGCTTTAATTGCATCAATCACAAGGGGGTGGCACCTTAAGGTCAGGCTCTGGTATGAGGACAAAAGCAATCCCGGGAACATCTAGCTCCACTTCGAATATATCAACCTTTGTCAAACATACTTGTGTCCCAAATACACGTCACTTAGGGTGGAAAGATGTGATTTGGGTACTTAAGAAAATCCCACAAAATGAGTTGAAATGTGATGTCATGAAAGTCACTTTAGCTGGTCCACAGTCTTAATTCGGTATATATGCTGAGGAGGGGATGGGTGAGCTTTCTAGTGGAGAGGAAATGTAGGGCTTCCACATACCGAATACAGCTAGACATTCTGGCTCCCAAGCTAAAAAGGGTTAGGGTTAGGAAGGAGGCTGCTGGCAGGCTCAGGCTCACACTTTGCCTGCATGGCTTTGCACTTACGTAGAGAAGACAGGATTCATTGGAAAAGACCCTGACGTTGGGAAAGATTGAAGGCAAAAGGAGAAGGGGATGGCAGAGGATGAGATGGATAGATAGTGTCATGGAAGCAACCAATATGAGCTTGGACAGACTTCAGGAGATAGTGGAGGACAGAAAGGCCTTGTTTGCTATGGTCCATGGGGGTCATGAAAAGTCAGACACAACTGGAAAACAAAGGGCCTCTTCAGCACTTAACTCTCAGCAAGGCCCTGCCCTAGCAATTTTGGGATGCTCAAATTTCTCATTGGGGGGAGGTGTCATCTAGTCCAAACTCATTTGCCAGAGCAAACCGAGGTCCAGAGAGATGAGGTGATTTATTGGAGGTGCCACAGGGATAAAGCAGAGCTGGGGTTCTTTCCACTGTACCCCACAGTGCCTCCTGCAAGTTTGGTGGGTTCTGTTTAGAACTCCAACAGAGTTCTACACCATATTGCGATTGTTTCATGTTGCATTTGTGTTTTCTGTGCCAGGCACCTAGAAGGTGCTCCATAAATGCTTGATGGACGGAAGCAGAGTTTTGTTGGATCTGTTCAATCTACTTTGTTATATTAGCAGTAGACAAGGGACCAGGCTGTCTCTTGTCATGTTACTCAAGCCTGACAGTTTTCACTCTTCACTGACTCAGCCTAATTATCAACAGCAGTACCCACAGAACACTTGACATATGCAATGCCTGTCACGTAGTAAGCTATTTCACTCATTCACCGAGGCTATCAGGGAAGGTTCAAAAAAGGCCAGAGGTAGGTGGACTTGCTTACAGGACTGGGCCAGTCATCGAGAAGCTTGGGGGAGTTCCTGCCCTTCTTTGGGCTTGCATCCTTCTTTATCAAAGGGCCCATCTCAGCCAAATGGGCCAATCCGTGATAGCAAGGGCCAAAGCGGAATATTTGAGTTGTGAAGTTGTGAAGGTTAGGCATAAATGTACCTTTGGCTCAGTAGCTGGGGATGAGTGAGAGCCACCTCCTAGGGAAGGCTATGTGTGTGTGTCACTGTGGCTGGGAATAACTGACTGGAAAAAGTTGACCACTCTATTGTTGTTTATTTGTATCTAACTCTTTGTGAGCCCATTTGGGGTTTTCTCGGCAAAGATACTGGAGTGGTTTGCCATTTCCTTCTCCAGTTCATTTTACAGATGAGGAAACTGAGGCAAACCGGGGGAAGTGACTTGCTTAGGATCACGTAGCTGGTAAAGTATCTGTGGCTGCAATAGAACTCAGGTCTTCCTGACTCCAGGCCAGGCGCTCTCTCCACCGCTCTCTCAGCCACCTAGCTGCCCCCACTAAATGGGACCATTTGTTGAATTTCCAGTCCCTTCCCAGTCCTTTGCATCAGGACCCAAGCTCCTTTCTAGTGTTCTTGGGCCAGGATTATTCTTCACCTACACTATTTGTTCTTGGGCCCTCATCAGAAATGAAGTGGGAGGAAGGAGGGTTGGGGTTCAGATCAAATGATACATATTTTTGGTAAAAGAGGCCAAATCGAATTGTTCCTTTTAAAACAAATAGCTTTTTCTCTTGGCCCTGGACCTCTGTTGCCCAGTGCCGACTGGAGGAGAACATTGGCACTGACTGAGCTTGACCACCTTCCTTACTTGAATTATAATCTCCCCCCATCCTTGTGGCAAATCCCAAGACTCCCTGATGAAATGGGGTTGTTTTAAAAGCCAAAGACTTGCTGCATTTAAAAAAAAAAGACTTCATTTGTTTCCCTTCCCTGATAACAAAACAGCCTGAAGTAAAGGGCATCCTACCCACTGCCTAGGGAGCTCCTCCATGGAGGCCTGCCCAGGTTTGCCCTGATCCAGGACAAACACCCCATTTCACTGCTCCACTGTCCCTCCTACGATAAGCTGAGTCAAACCATGTGTATATAGACCTTGTTTCTTCCCAAGAAAATTCATGGACCCATAGGGTTAAAAGGGAAAAGTGCTAAGCCCACAGGGCTAGAATGGAAAAATAATCATGAGCCATTGGACTAGAAGATCCAACTGGGTGGAGTAACAGCAATCGAGTGAGGAAGTTGAAGCCAAGGGGAGCTGAACGTGAGCTAGGGAGACCTAGTCATGGAAGGGGAATCTAGGGGAAGAGTCCAGAGTTCCCTCTCTTAACAAACCTAAAGGGAAGTCTCCCACGCAATGTTTACAAAACACCACAGGACACGATTGTGCGAAAATAAATTATTCAAACAGAATGAAGTAGTGAACATTAGCTGAATCCAACCAGAAGCATTTGCAATAAGACCAAACATGGGTCAACAAAATAAATTTATCAACATCAATTGTTTCACAGTAAGACCAAACATTCTTTCTGAAATGTAAATGCTATTTTCTGAACTTTTGAAGGCAAACAATATCACTGTGTGCTCTAGAACAACACCTAGGCCATTCATTTAGCAATGCAGCATGTCAACAATTGCAGATAGAAAGAGAGAAGAGAGAAGATGGAGGGGGGGGAGAGGCAGGAATAAGGGTTTTCCACATGGAGTACCCCTAAGCAGGTGTTATTTAGGACATCCTGCTCAACACTCCCCCTGAGGTTAATAATGATCACCCATTAAGACAGTATTGTGATTAAAGACAGTGACAGTAAGTTCCCCCCCCCCCCCCCCCCCC